TAAGTAAATAATAGTGTTAAATTTTATCGATAAGTGTTTGGTAAACAACCCCTTACTTTAATTAATAAAAGAAGAAAAATGACAAAAAAATCCCCCGAACTTAACATGTAGACTTAACGCTCATTAGGGTCAAGGTAAGCAAATTTAAACGATAGGTGTACGGTGTAATTTCAAAAATACGATGGCAAATGGTAGACTTTTAGCAAACCACAAGGGCTATTTGTGTAATTTACTTTAAGCAAATACAGTGAAAGTATTGCATATTAGATCATGGACGCTTTTTGTTGGTACCAAATACCAATAGTGTAAAAATGAAATTTTATTGAAGTTGAGGGACGAATTTTGAGTTTTTTGTAAATATAAAATGAAATTCACAAAAACAGATTTTAGAGAAGTTCCCCGCCAAAACCCTAAAGTTTCGTTCATCATGTCTCGACCAACCGATGACACCAGAAGGAAACCCTAAAACCAGTTGAGAATCGAATCAACTCTATGGATTTTGCCTTAGACGAATAATTTGTTCACGAGCAGAACGAACTGTTGGGGACAAATGGGCGAAAGAGAGACGGAAATTGAAGTCCGAACCCTAACCGGTGAAACGATCACAGTCTCCATTTCATTGAATAGCACAATTCATGAACTCAAGCTTCTCCTCAAACAAATCTTTCCTCCCGCAACCACCTCCTCGAACTTCCACCTTTTTCTCAAGGTATTGGCTTGTCTGGACTTTTTTTTTTCTAATGTAGAAACATATGCGTAGCGATGAGTGTGTAAAGTTTGGTGATTGGTGTAATGTGCGTTTTGTTTGTTTTTGATGCAAGACTATAATTGCTTCTTATTACTGCCTTCCTGTAATCTGATTTGCAATACATTGGTTCAGGGCACGAAACTAGGTTTGCAGAGTCAGATAAGTAGTAACTTGATTAACCATGGAGAATTTATCGTTCTTATTCCATTTACGAAGAAGGACAAGCAGCAAACAGTGAAGCAAGGGGCGAATGAAACAAATTCTCAAAATCTCCATCAGTGTTCCACCTCAAAATTTGCTGAATTAGCTTGGTCTGATATGATGCAAGACCTATCCTCTCTCCGGGATCGAGAGACTGATGGCAATGAGAGTCATTCTCATGTTGACGTTGGAAGCACCAATTCTGACAATCAAAACAAAGCAAATAAGAGAAATTGTAAGAGCTTGTTTGATGAGGCAATACATGAGTTTTTGAACACATTGCAGTCATGTCACAATGATGAGTTGGATGAAAAGAGTTGCGAGAGGTTTATGCAGATTTTGGAGTCAGTTAATTGTTTATCTGATCCAGGAACCAGGAATTGTATAATTGGGACTGCAAATATACGAGCCAGTGAAATCAACTGTACTGCTCACAGTAGCTATTCATGCTTTTGTCCATCATGGCTGAAGGTTCTATTGAAGGCGTTTTATTTCTTGAACATTTACTGTACTTTTCTTCAAGTGCAGCAGAAAAAAGTTACCCAGCATAGTTTGGAGGGAGGACTGCATCAGCTATGCAAGTTTGGACTTGGATTTGAATATGCTGATCTTGAGAATCTTGCTGTGCTCTGTCCTCAGGTAATTGAATATATTATAGAACTGTACGACTAAGTAATTACTGAGGCTTATTAGCTTAAGTGATTTCTAGAACTGTATCATCCCATCCTTGGGTTCTGCATAATGAATTACTGGGGGTGCATCAAGATGCGGAGAAATTTTTTTATCTAGTGGAATGTGGTTTCTGGGTCTCTAAAAAACTTACTAGCATAAGTATAGGGGTGTAAACAAGTCGAGCTTTTAACGAGCTAMTCGTGCTCTAACTCGTTTATCTCGAACTTAATAGTTATCGAGCGTGAGTCGATCTTGAATACAAAATAAAGATCCTTCAACTTAACGAGTTGAGCTTCATAACACCAATGTTCGACTCGACTCATTCGAAAGCTCGATTAAACTTCACGAGCCGAGCCGAGCCGAGCAGAGCCAAGCCATTCGAGCATACACTTTCTCGAGCCAAACATATTTATATGTTTACAAATTATATAATCAAAATATAAAATCATTGAGCTTGAGTAAATAAATGAGTTAATTGATCTCGAATTCGTGATCGTAAACGAGCATCGAGCTCCAGCTCAAACATTGAAAATATATTCGAGCTCGAGCCCAACTTTGAAAATGTTAATCAAGGTCGAGCCTGATATTATTTTTTTGAGCTGAGCTTGAACAACCTGCTACTTGACTCGGCTCGACTCGTTTGCACCCCTACTTGATAAGTACTCATGCAACTTATAATGACCACAACTTCCTTTGAAATAACAGAGAAGCTATTGCTAAGAAGCTTAAAATCATAACCATAACTTTCTTTGAAATAACAGAGAAGCTATTGCTAAGAAGCTTAAAATCATAACCATAACTTTCTTTGAAATAACAGAGAAGCTATTGCTAAGAAGTTTAAAATCACGTATTTGGTTCTGTCTCGGCATACAAGCAGTCGTTTAGGTGCTTCAGCTTCTCATGATTGATTATGATTGTAATTTTCTTTTCATAATAACACTAACTTGTTGAAAATTACCAACATGGTCGTTGCCAAAGTTCTGTTATGAATCAAATTCTCAATCCATGAATGAGCAGATCACTAAGGCAAATGAGTTGGCTGTATGATTAAATGGAAAGGAAACTGGGAATATCTAGCATTTGACAGGCTAGTTCTCTTCTAAACAAAATAATAGACAATTTTTTGGATGATCTTTCACTCTCGTTTACTCCCTATTTATTAATAGACTTTAGGGTAAACAATACTAGAACTACCCCTTCTAGAACATATGCTATTAATGGGCCTGGGCTTGTGTCAATGCATAGCATTACCCCGCCCCCAAAGAACCACCTTGTCCTCAAGGTGGATAGAAGAAATAGAGAAACTGTTGTTGCTCAGTTACAACAACTCCCCAACCCGCTGCAACTAAAGCCCAACACTTGCAATTCAGCTCCTTGTCACCCTTTTGTTTCAAAGTCAGACTCGAAGTCCAAGAGTTTTCAGCCTGTTGCTACCATAATTTTGCCAACTTACAGACTCATCCAAATCCCCTTGTATATAAATGTTCTCAGCCCATAGGGCAAGTGATAGGTACTAAATTAATAAGAATAGGAATAGGCTAGCTTTTTATTGATAGTGTCCCGATTCAAGAGGGGCAAGGTCTCCGTTTACAGGAAAAGATAAATATGAGTAACTTCGATGATAACAATGATAAGCAGGCCTGTTATTTATACTATCCTATTCTTAGAATTAAGTATGGTAACTGCTAAAATCAAGTGTGGTAATTGCTCCATAATTCCTTGGTTAACCATCAATTGATTTGAGTAAATTCAGCCAGTTGACCATCAATTGTTTTGGCCTAGTGGATTCAGCGAATTCCCAAAAATAGAATTCAGCTGCCCCATATTGGCACCTGTGCCCCGGTTCCTTTTCCTCGAGTACATCTTCAGTGGGTTTTTTTTATCATCACTTCCCTCCCGGTAAAACGTCTTGTCCTCAAGGCGGAATGCAGGAAATTGCTCAGCTACTAGATCATAAGTTTCCAACGTAGATTCTTCATGGGACGGTTACACCAAGAGACCAACAGTTGTAAGTTTGGGAGGCCAACTTCATAAACCCAACGATGAGTGATGACAGAACTTGGTTGCCAGTCAATTTCCCAGTCTTTGGTGATGGGTAATGGTGCAGCGGTTTAAGCATTGAGACATGGAAGACCGGGTGGATTTTAGCTTCGGATGGTAGTTCCAACTCATAGGCAACTGGACCAACTGTTCATTTAATACGATATAGGCCAAAAAACCTTGGGGATAGCTTCTCGTACCGACGATTTGCCAGACTCTTTTGACGATAAGGTTGAATCTTCAAGAAGACATAGTCACCAACCTGAAACGTGAGTTCCCGTCGCTTCAAATTTGCTTGGTTTTTCATCCGGTCTTGGGCCTTTTGGAGGTTTTGTCGAAGAAGCTTCAACATATCATCCCTATCAATTAATTGTAGTTCCACCTCTGCATTTCTGGTTTCCCCCACCGCATAAGGAAACAAAGGAGGTTCCTTGCCATAAACAATAGAAAATGGGGTTGTACCGGTGGACATGTGGTACCCGAGTATTATATGAATATTCGGCCCTTGGTAAGAAAGTACTCGATTTGGTTGGTTGTTCACTTAAGCTTCTAGGCAACGATTTAGAACTTCGGTTTGACAGTCCGTTTGAGGATGGTAACTTGTACTCAATTTTAACTTGGTCTGACTTAATCGGAACAATTCTTGCCAAAAGTTGATAAGGAAGACAACGTCTCGATCAAAAACGATAGAGCGGGGAAAACCATGTAATCTGATTATCTCTTTGGAAAATACCGTAGCTACTCCTTTGGCCGTGAATGGATGAGACAACCCAAGGAAGTGAGCATGTTTGCTTAGGCGATCCACCACGACTAAGATAGTATCAAAACGGCTTGATGGAGGTAAACCAACGATAAAGTCCATGGAGATATCCTCCCAAATTTGGTTTGGGATGGGTAAGGGATGAAGCAAACTGGCGGGAGACAGAGTTTGGTATTTCTGTTGGTGGCATATCACACGTTGCTGTACAAAAATCCTCATATCTTGTTTCATCTTTAGCCAATGATATCGAGAGGAAAGTCGTTTATAGGTTTTAAAAAAACCCCATGACCACCGTCCACCGATTGGGGTATCATGTACTTCTTGTAACAACTTAAGTCTGAGGGAAGATACCTCTGGTATTACCAAACGCCCTTGATAAAACAAAAGCTGATTTGCAAGAGAGAAATCAGTGACGGACGAAGGGTCCTCATTCAATTTGTTGATCAGGTCGCTTGTAAATGGATCGGTTTGCAACCAGCTTTGATATCAACCATTTCAACACAATAAGGGACAATGAGTGTCAATAATTCTCCTGAATGGGGTCGACGAGATAAGGCATCAGCCCCCTTGTTCTCTTTTCCGGCCTTGTGAATAATCGAAAAATCATAAGGCATGAGTTTAAGTAGCAACCTTTGCTGCTCGGTAGTGGTAATGCGCTGCTCCAATAAAAACTTCAGGGTATAATGATCGGTACGGATGAGAAAATGCCGACCAAGCAGGTAATGACTCCGTTTTTGTACCGCCAGGACCAATGCTAGCAGCTCCCTATCGTAAGTCGATTTAATCGGCTAAATGGGGAAAACCTCTTGCTGAAATAGGCCACATGATGGTTCTCTTGTGATAATATTGCTCCCATGCCATCCGACGAAGCATCACACTCTATAATAAAGGGTTTCGAGAAATCGGGTAATCTCAAAACTGGTGTAGAAAGCAAAGCTTGTTTCAAGTCATTAAAGGCTTTAAGGGCCGCTCTCGACCAACTAAACCCATCCTTCTTGGTCAATGCGGTGAGGGGTCGGGCTATGAGACCGTAATTACGACAAAGCGCCTATAATACCCGGTTAACCTGAGGAGACCTCTCACTTTCTTTACTGTTGATGATACGGGCCACGACCTAACTGCTGATATCTTTTCTTCCTCTACACTAACTCTTTTCGAGTTGACCACATGACCAAGGAACACAACTTGTTCTTGCCCAAAACAACATTTCGATAATTTGGCAAAAAATTAATTGTCATGAAGTAATTTTAGGGCCTGTTCCAAATGAAACTTGTGCTGTTCCATACTTGGGCTGTAAATTAAAATGTCATCAAAGAACACAAGTATGAAACGTCGTAAGTAAGGACGAAATAGATTGTTCATGATAGCCTGAAATGTGGAGGGAGCATTAGTCAGACCAAAAGGCATGACCTTGAATTTGTAATGACCCGAGTGAGTGCGAAAGGCTGTTTTTTTGACATCTGGGGCTGCCACTCTGATTTGATAATAACCCGATCACAAATCGAGTTTTGAGAACACCGTAGCACCATACAGTTCATCAAGTAACTCGTCAATATTGGAATAGGGTATTTATCGGCTATAGTTATCTTGTTAAGGGCCCGGTAATCGATGCACATTCGCCAAGAATTGTTCTTCTTTCTCACTAGTAATACAGGGCTTGAGAAAGGGCTGGTACTTGGTTGAATAAATCCAGCGGTCATCAACTGTTCCACTTGTTTCTCTATCTCATTTTTTTGGGAGTGGGGATAACGGTAAGGACGGATTTTAGGCGGGGTGGAGCTTGGCAAAAGTGGAATTGAATGGGTTTGTGATCTAACCGGGGGTAAATGTTGAGGTTCCTCAAAAACAGTGGTGTATTGGGAATAGGTTGTAGTGGGGCTGGTATGCAGGGGGTAACTTCTGGGTCAATGGCTAGATGTTGGAAACTGGATGATTTTTGGGGGCCGGATGCAATGCCTTGTAGTTGGTATCGCTTCACATCTATTGAAAAAATCATGAACAATTCTTTCCAGTTAGCTTGAACCGTATTTAATGTGGCTAACCATTGAATACCCAAAACTAGATCAGCTCCACCAAGAGAAATAGGATGGAAATCTTGAGTGATCTTGAGGTCATTAATCTGTACAGGTTGATTTTTGCAGATTTGGCCACATCGAATTCCATCCCCGTTACTGATTTGAACATCGAAAGGCGCTACTGGTTGAGGAGCCAGCTTAAGTTCATTCACCAAGACATCCGAAATGAAATTGTGTGTAGAACCATCATCAACTAAAATTAAAACTTCAGTAGAATGAAGCATACCATGGACCTTCATCGTGGTTGGATGTGACTTCCCCAGAATAGCATGTAAACTGATTTCAGCAGTTTCTTCCTGGTCAGAATCGAGGCCAGTTAGATCTGTTGTAGGTGATTCTTCAACATCCTCATCAGCCTTTAAAACCTTGAAAGTACCGATTTTGCAACGATGACTCGGTCTGTATTTATCGCCACATCTGAAGCATTCCTCTTTTAGGAATCGGTTTTTTTCTCTGCTTCGGAAATTCGGAAAGTATTTTTTGGTTGGGTTGATGTTTGGGCTGGGGTGAAAGTTGTTGGTTTGGGATCCGACTGTGAGGGGGGGGGGGTGAGTTTAGATTCAAATTCTAGAGCCAGACTCATGGCACTATATACCGTATGGGGCTTGTGAATTCGTACATCGGATTTTAATTCATCTTTGAGGCTGTTTAGGAGTTTCAGAAGAAGTTTCTTTAAATCAATCTATTAATGCCAGAACCTAGAGACCTATAACCACGGGTGAAGCACGACCTTTGTCGTTGATGATTTTGGAGGGGACAATGGAAATGTTGGAGAGAGTGGAGGAGAGGAACGGTGCACTTGGGAGGAAAAAAGTGTTAGTGGGTGGGGAAATAAGAAAAATCAATCGGGAATAAATGGGTAGTGAGTGGGGAAATAAAAAGTCGATTGGGAGCATAAATGAAGGGAAGTCACTGGAAAGTGGGCTTGGATAGCAGCTGGGCAGGTTCTTTGGCTGAAATTGGGTTTCCATAGTATGGTTACAAGGGGTCTCAAAAGTGGGGAAGTATTGGAAAGTTACTAGAAATTGAAGAAAAAAGGTGTTGAGTAGGTTGAAAAACTCGGATTTTTGGAGCGGCAAAAAGGCAACATCAGGGGTGGGTGAACTGAACTCACCGAGTTCAATGGCGATGGGCGTGAGGCAGTCAGGTACAGTGGAAAAATTCTGAAGGGTATCCAATAACGATTTACATAAATGCCAAGCTTAATGGCAATGGGAGGAATTGGTGATAAGGAGAGGTTTGTTGACGCTCATCGGGAACCGCCGCCGCCACTACTACTACCACCACGACTAGGGTTTTTGATATAAAGAGTTTGAATCGATTGTTTTACTTTTTTCCACCTTGAGAACAAGGCATGTGTTGGGGGCGGGTACGGTTATACCCTGGGTATGGAAGTCAACTGGTCAATGTTGGTAAGCGGGTAGGAGTCTTTTAGTACGTGGTCGGTTAAGAAAGTTGGTGGGCTGGGTGTAGTATAAGTAAAGGAGCTGGCTATTAGTTGAGGGTATTCTGTATTGTGTCTAGTTTGTACAGAGAGGAACGATTGGGGAGAGGCCAGGACTCTGAATTGTGTAGGAGTAGAATTAAGCATTTGATTACGTTCGTTTTTGTGTTCTATTCTGCCATTTGCAACCGAGTGTAACAATAATATATCAGCTTGAGAGTTATGTTGTGATGATTTTGTGAGTTCTTCTATATTGATTCACAGAAACATACACTATTCACATACAGTCGTGGATGCAGTCTATTTTGTCAGTAGTTCAATTATCAAGCACAAAGTGGTTGGCCCATGAAGTTGAAAGAAGTACCAATTTAAACTGGAAACCTACTTGAGGTTCACAGTACTATCACGTCAAAAGACAAATTCCGTTATTGCATTCATTTAATACACTGTGATTCTAGAAGTGACTTCTGCTTGATGTGTCCGTGAGAGAAATCAAAATGTTACTGGCCATAAGAAAAATGATAGGATAAATGTATTTGATGTGGCTTACTCTGCGTACTTGCTGTTTTTATATACTCTAGTTTTTTTAGGTTAATCTCACACCCTGAAGTCAGAATGTTGATTCTAATATCCGTTTGCTCTTGCTTCCCTGTCTCTCTCCCCATGCTCCATGCTCACAATTAATAACAACATATGCTATGTCAAAAGTTTAGTTCTATGTTTCCTCATCTTTACTTCCATCATGTTCTCTTACACATTTATGTTTTACTACTTTGAAATGTTACTAACATCAGTTAAGCATACATTTAATGTTATTATCATAACTTTTGGCTAGTCAATATTAGCATGTGACTTGTGAATGATACATCTATGCTGCAATTTTCACATGATCAACATGTCTTTTTGCAGGTTATACAATTTATTAACAATGAGACAGAGGGTAGAAGGTCAGACAATGCCATTGTTGTCATTAAGTCGAAATTAGATCTTAAATGCCAAATTAAAGGTAGACCTAACCGGTGCCTCTCATGATGGTTTTATTTTATTGTATTCTTGCTTTAAGTTCACTAAGATTGCGCATTACTTCACAACTAAGAGAGCTTCTTGATGTTATCTTAGGTAAGAGAAAAATGTCTATTGCAAGAGTAGTTAATACCATGAGAAAAAGAGAAGGTGCCTTCAAAGCAGGTTTATTGGCAGCTGTTAAATCATTTATGGTATGTGTAGATGTGGGGTTCTCTTTCTTCAAATTCTTGTTGGTTCAGATAACATATCTTCTTATCCTGTGTCATGTCGCGTCAAACATAAAACAATGAATTTTGTCATGTCTAGTCCCATGTACCGAAAGCAGCCTTAAATATGGTTCGTGTCATCTTTTTATATCTAGCTTTCTAGGTATATTTGTACACTTCATCTTCTATCTCCAATAGGTTCTTTTTATAGTGTACCTTCTACCATCTCTTGTTACCCTCACCAATAAGTCAAATTGTCCGTCAATTTCTGGTATTATGGATTGCTTGTCCTCTAGTCATTTTTCTCTCAAGTATTAGTAGGTGGGTTGAGCTTATTGATGACCTTGCTTTTATCTCTTCTGTAATCTTTGAAAATCGTTGATATCATAAAATTTCGGTTAGTTGATAAGCACAATGTTCTGCAGGAAAAAAGGGGTAACGAGACGATCAAGTCATTATCCTTGAACGATCTTTTGCTACATGTAAATGAAGGAGATCAAAAAGCAACTAAAAGTGATGCTAAGCGAACAAAGAGAAGCTTGTCTGAACCCTCAGGTTCTTTTTCACCTGTAGCACAGTGTAATGTAGGTATCATCTTTGTGTTTCATTTTTCAGTAATTCTTGAAAATTCTATTACTTTTCTTATCTTCAATTATAGGGTGCTATAAGTTCATTCACAATGTAAATAATGAAAGGGGAACTAATAGAAACAAACGAATCCCACTGAAGTTTCAAGGCTTAGGGGTATTAAAGCTACGTGGCACCACTACTTTGCTTGTATATTTGTTGATGCGTAAAATTCACTTCTAGGAATTTGTACTTGGTACTTCCATTGCAGTATGAATTTGGAATGTGTATGTGGATGTATTTGAGAAGAACAGAATCAGAGATAACACACAATTGAGATGCTCTAGGATCAAAAAATAATTCATATGATTTTGCTTCCCTGAGGCCTGAACTGCTGTCTGTGTCGTTTTTTACTGGCATTTGAAGACTTCCAAAAGGTTCTAGATCTCTCTAACAGCTGTATTTCTTAGGCTTTGCTATTGCTGTTAATTTCTAGTCTCTTTGGTCGTTCAATCAGCCACAGCTGAACCTGAACTTGTCATTTGGTAAATCTTCAGTTAGCCAAGTATGTAATTTTGCGTTAGTATTGCATAGATCTCTTTAATCACTTGCGTTCTTCTTGGAATTCTTGTTGTTCCGTAATATTTTTCTCTTTAGGAGACAAACCCTCTGCTACCTGTGGAAATGGTTGAGCATCTGAGAGCAGGCATTGGTTCCCAAGGACAGGTTTCATCTTTATTCCCACTCCTTTCGTCTGAGTTTGTAATTGCCCTTGTTATATTCCCGATCGTCTTAATTTTGCCCTTTCTTATTACTGCTACGCTTTGTTGTGTTGGTTGACTTGGAGGTTGCTTTGAAAATGTTGGAAAGCTCCAATGGTCTTTTAACAGTGCATATTAAACACAATATTTCATCTTAAGACTCCTTATGGTCACTGCCTGGTTGTCAGGCAAAGTATGGTTTTCTAAGCAACCATCTGATGCGAGATGATGTGCTTTTTATGATGAAATTTTCAGATGGTACATGTTGAAGAAATTAATGGACGAGTAGCCAATTTTGTCGAGATTCCAAGTTATCTATCTGAAAGAACACAATCTGCACTTAAATCTTGCGGGATCTCGAAGCTGTATAGTCACCAGGTATACATTCTGGCATCTTTATACGTATACATATATAGATATAGATATTCCAAAGTCTGATGTTTATGCCTTTGCTCTTGTGGAATCTGTAGGCAGAGTCAATTCAGGCATCCCTCGCTGGAAAGAATGTTGTTATTTCCACCATGACATCTAGTGGAAAATCTCTGTGCTATAATCTACCAGTTCTGGAAGTATTGTCTCAAGATCTTTCTGCCTGTGCTCTATACCTCTTTCCAACAAAGGTCCATTCCTTCACTTCTATCAAGTGTCAATGCCTCATTCACAAAGCAATGAATTGTTCTGGCTTAGTTCTTGCCGGTATTTGAAGCTATCAATCGAATTGCATTTGATTTAAGTGGGTTTTGTATGTCTTATTTACACTCTTTAATCAAATTAAAATGCATGCAGGCCTTGGCACAAGATCAACTAAGAGCATTGTTATCTGTTACAGAAGGTTTTGGTGTAGGGTTAAACATAGGAATATATGATGGAGATACTTCCCAGGAAGATAGACTCTGGTTGCGTGATAATTCTAGACTGGTACTTCCGTAATTTGTGGTCGTAGAAGGCAATCAATTTTCAGCTGGAAACTGGCTTCTATTTACCAAATTGTCAAACTTTTTGTAGTTGATCACAAATCCAGATATGCTTCACATGTCAATCTTGCCGTTTCATAACCAGTTCCAGCGATTCTTATCAAACCTCAGGTAACCTTTGCAAGTTATATGTGAGTTGAGTTGCACAGTTCAATGATGATAAATAACCTTAGTATTGCCTTTATCCAAATCAAGTAGAGTTCTCTTTTCTAATTTCGACTTGATATTAGTCACTGTTTACTTTTAGTAGTTTTGCACTGGCATCAGCTATCTTTTAGGTTCAAGAGCCTGTTTTATGTGTCAGATATGTCATCGTTGATGAAGCTCATGCCTATAAGGGAGCGTTTGGATGCCATGCTGCTCTTGTTTTAAGGAGGCTTCGACGGCTCTGTGCTCATGGTATGTGCTTGTATGTGGTCTTGCAATTATCCTCCTTGATTTCTTTACCCTATTCGTATAAAAGGTCCAACTAGATGGTCTCGTCGAACCAGCTAAACAGTTGACCAGTATGGTAAGTGAAATCCATATTGAACATTAACAAATGGCAGCCTGATAGTGTACTGTCAAACTGCTGTGCTACGTATAATTGCCCTCAACCAACATGCTTCGATATATTATTTAAGTCGTTGATCTTATTAAATCACTCAATTCGTCTCATCATATATTTCATTATTTTGGTGTTGTAGGGCAGATTGCTTACTATTTTTGTAATTTGTAGCTCTGTTTTTTCTATACTAGTGCATGGATCTCCATCAATGTTTGGAACCATACAAAGTGCTAGTTATAGAATCAACCCCTATTTTTCTACCCATCTATTGTGACACTATCTTGTTTTCACTTTTAAGGAATCAAGTTTCTTAATAGCTGACTGGATAGGTATTCCATAAATGCAAGATGCTAAGATTTCTCCTTTTTTGGCACATATTAATGTCCTTTAACAAACAAACTTCACTATTATGCACTAACAGATTAGTATGCATCTTATCTCTTACTTATGTAACGTAATAATTATCCTGTCACAACAGATCAGCAGAAGAGCCACCTCCTCGTAGAGTAGTAGGTCTTAACATCTTATATGAATTGAATTATTTTTTGTTAGTCTTTATGGTATTTAAAATTGTGTTTTGTTCTCTGTCTTATTTATCATGGTGGATAATACATGTGGAACAATAGAGAAATCAGCCTATGTGCTTTTGAAGCAAATTTTCTATTTTGCTTTGTGTGCAGATATATACCTTCACATTCTGTTTTCATATTTGCAGTTTATGGGAGTGATCCATCTTTTATATTTTCCACTGCAACCTCTGCCAATCCCCGTGAACATGCAACGGTAAGATGGTATGTTCATAATCAGATGAATCTGTACTCAGCATTTTCAAGTCATCAATTGGATGATTTTTTGAATTTTAGTCTCTAGAGACTCGCTTCCTGGTTGTCGCATGATGGAACTGCCTTCACTATAATTTTGTGTTTGTACTAGAATACTCCTTCAATATGAAACTAAACATCGTATTTGACACATGCCTGTTATAGTAGCAATGGACAATTTTATTCCAACCTGTTTAGAAATGGGATTTCATCTATGTTCTATGCATTAACAATGTTGTAAGTTGCAGTATAATTATCCAATTTTTTAACGCTGCAGGAACTTGCAAGTTTACCAACAATGGAGCTAATTCACAAGGATGGCAGCCCTTCTGGCCCCAAACTGTTTGTCCTCTGGAATCCTCCTTTACGCATGAAAACTGTAAGATCGGTTGATGCTTTGGTTTCTACCAGATTCAGATTATGAGGTAGTGATTGTTCTTTATCTGTTGTTTTTGCCAAATTACAGGTAAAGAAGAGAACTAGAAGTAGCATACATACTGAAAAATTTGATAGAACGATATTTCTTGGACGCTCAAGGTATAGGCCTAAATGAAGTTTTTGTCCATGCAATTGTGCATCCAACTTTTTGTAGCTGTGGAAAATTGAAAAATCACTTGCCATTACTTCCATTGTTTCTTACATCGACTTAATTGAAATGAGTTTAGTATAATAGGATTGTTGTTCTTCTGAAGAATTTGGAAATGTATTTTGAGTTAATGCTTTTGTTCTACTTGGTTTTATGCTTTATGGTGCTGCAACCTTCTAGATATGGGAAATCTGTTTGTGGGTTTCACTCATCTGATTTGGTGAAGTTTTGTTCTGAGTACTCATTTGACAGATGGAAGGTAACTTTGCTAGCCTAAACCAAACAAACCAAATGTACCTAGTATATCCCACTGAGAGTAGGGTCCGGGAGGTATGATGTATGGAGACCTTTCCTCTACCCAAGGGGTACAGGCTTTGTTTCCATTATAAACCCGGCATGGCGAATTTTTTTTGTAGAAACAAGTTTTGTCCAAAAGTATTTTTTCTTTTATTTCTAGGTTACTTTTTAGCATGTGAATTGAATATGATTTTCATGGTATTGAACAACTTAGATGGGATTTCGACTCTCTTTCTAAAATACCCTGTTATGGAGTAACATGACGAGTAAGCATAACAGCTGGTTATAGTATGGTGCTGTAAATTTTCTAAACATTCAACTATAAATGGAAGAGTTAGATATTTTGTTAGGTAACTTCAATCCATGTGGCAAAAACCTGCATGATCTGTCTTCTGCTCTTGGGCTTATAATGTCAAATTTGTAACTGTACTTAAAGTTTTCTTGTGTGCTTGCTTTCATGGTGTATTACACATTTGGAATATTTGCACCTCTATGAAAATCTAAAATAAAATTTTCAACATTTTTCCTACGAGTGAGCTCTTTGATGATTATAATATTTGTTTCTGCAGTCCAATCTTGGAAGTTTCATGTCTCTTCGCCGAAATTGTTCAACATGGACTTCGTTGCATTGCATTTTGCAAAACACGCAAACTGTCTGAACTCGTGTTGAGCTATACGTATGTATCCTTTTACTTTATATTTAGATCTTCCTTTATGTTGTGATCATTATGTACCTGATTTTAGGAGTGACCTTCGTCTGTTGTAGGCGCGAAGTACTTCAGAAGACGGCACCCAATCTTGTAAATTCTGTATTTGCTTATCGGGCTGGTTATACTGCTCAGGTTAGTATATGCTTTCTGTACTTTGTTTCCGAAATGATAACTGAACGTCTGATTAGATAATAAATTGACCAGAAAGATATCTAGATAAAGCTTCCTACGATAGTCACCATCCAAAAGTTCCATTTGGGAGGTCATTGGAGTATCTATTTTTTTACTTCCTTTCAAGTGTCAGGTTTTGTGGAGTTATGCTGGCCATTTACAGTCTCATCCGTAACCAGTGTACCTACGTATTAAATTTATGAGTGCATATGTACAAACATGTGGATATGCTGTTTGATTGGTACATACATCAGGAACCTATCAGTGGGGTTGGGTTCCGGTGAGAATGAAAGTTATGGTGAGAAGGGTAAGAAGGGAGCTCCACCCTTGGATCAATCTTAATTGAAGAGAGACACTAGATCAAGTGTAATGAGACACACCGGATCAATTTCCTTCTAAAGCACAATTCATGGGTTGGTTTGCGATTAAAAGTGATCAAGGATCCAAATCTCTTATTACACGTCTCACCTTTACTCTTATTCTCACACGATCCTTCATCCCTATCAGTGTGCCTCAGATAGTTCTTTTAGGGACTGTACCACCAGCATACCAATCAATTGAAGTCATATCTATTGTGTGTCTTCTAGGTGCCAATGGTCATTTACTCATTTTAAGAACAATATATTAAAGCATGCATGTTCTGTAACTTCTACTTAAATTACCCAAATTTGGCAGTGACATGAGCTTAGGGGTACAGTAGGGTTGGATAAATCATTGGTGAGAGTCTATTAGACCATATATGTTAGTATCTTTAGTTAACATCTTACTCATGTTTCACCCTCTTCCATTCAAATAAAAAGAAACATGGTAATACCACAAAAGAACAAACATATAGAAAAAAGAATATACGCTTAGAATATTATATAAGATGATATAAATCACAGAATGGCATGAATGCACGATACTCTTCATTTTCCATAACCATTCATTATGGTTAGCCGGTAATTGGTTATATTTTGTGGTATACTTGGCACCATAATAGTATATCTTAGAGAACCCTTTTCACTGACATGTAAGTGTTGGTGGTATCAGGAGGGAAAGGGTCATAGGAGAAGAGAAGGGTATAAGCCTTTAGGGAGACCAAACTTCTGCCTGGAGTATGTCACACAAGCTGATATGTTTGACCTGAACCTTTTAACATATCTTGTAATTTAGAAGTTCTCTGATTTCTTACCCAACTCGGGATGGTTTTCTTGCTCTTTATAGCTTAATTCTTCATTTGATCTGCTTTAAGATTATGACATTTAACCAAATGATTGAACAGGATAGGAGAAGAATTGAGAGTGACCTTTTTAGTGGGAACATTTGTGGTGTTGCTGCTACAAATGCACTTGAATTGGGCATTGATGTTGGACACATTGATGTCACCCTGCATCTAGGCTTTCCTGGTAGCATAGCTAGGTATGTGACTTGATTCTGTTTTGGTATGGCCTTTCCACCCTTTTATTTACTCTCACCAAGACCAACCATCTCAATTTGTAGCCTATGGCAGCAAGCTGGAAGGTCTGGAAGAAGGGAACAGCCATCACTTGCTATATATGTTGCATTTGAAGGACCTCTTGATCAGTATTTTATGAAATATCCTCAGAAACTCTTCAGGGGCCCAATTGAATGTTGTCATGTGGATGCTAAAAACCCGCAGGTTTATTTATTGACAATTGCAATTGACAATCTGTTTTCTCTTGTGGGTCCGTGCATGAGATTTCTTTGTCTATATAGGTGCTTGAACAGCACTTGATCTGTGCATCTCTTGAACACCCACTAAGTGTGCTTCATGATGAGAAGTATTTTGGTCCTGGACTAAAAACTTCCATACTGTCACTTAAAAGAAAGGGATATGTTAGTACTGATCCGTCACGTGGTCCCTCTGCTGAAATTTGGAACTACATTGGGCATGAGGTATACAATATGCAACCGTACTGCTGTTAATGAAATTTGTGTTACAAACATGTGTTTCAGTTCTTGCTATACTCATGTTTTCCCATGTTACCTACTAGAAAATGCCTTCTCATGCTGTAAGCCTACGTGCAATAGAGGCAGAGAGATACAAGGTAATTGACATTAAAAGTGATCAAGTTCTTGAAGAAATTGAAGAGAGTAAAGCTTTCTTTCAGGTAACTCATTTGGATGTTTTTTTCTTATTAATCCGCAGTAATAATTTTATTGAACTTAAGTTCGTAAACCAGTTACCTTTCTCCTAAAGTGGCTCTGTCCATTATGATTAGGACCTATGGATTATAGCATCACCTATAGACTGAATTCTTATGCTAATTGATCTCAGGTCTATGATGGTGCTGTTTATATGCAGCAGGGGAAAACCTATCTAGTCAAGAATTTGGATTTATCGACTAAAGTTGCTTTGTGTCAGGAAGCTGACTTAAAGTACTACACCAAGACTCGTGATTACACAGATGTTGAAGTTGTAGGTGGTCAAATTGTAAGTTTGAACTAAATTATCTGTCGCATCCCTCTTCTGCAACTACTTTCAAAAATGAAACCACTTGATCTTGCATGTATACTATCTTTTGCATAGTGTTAGAATTTCTGCCATGTTGTTTCCTCCATCCGTCACATTCTACATGCACCCTGTTACTGTTTAGGCCTACCCAGCACAGATTTCTGACATTCAGTACTCAAGAACAACTGCCCAATCAAACCCGTGCAAAGTGACTACTACCTGGTTTGGATTTCGACGTATATGGAGAGGAAGCAACCAAGTATTTGATACTGTTGATCTCTCACTTCCTAGTTATTCATACGAGTCACGGGTGCGTGTTTGCCTGTAACGATCTACTTGCTGCGTTACTGTTGTTTTCAATCATACTTGTTGACCGTCTCATCATTCTGTACTCAATTTCGTTTGAGTAGGCTGTCTGGATTCGAGTACCACAAGTGCTCAAAACAGCTGTTGAAGCAGAAAATTATTCATTTCGTGGAGGCCTGCATGCTGCTGGTCATGCACTACTGCATATTGTGCCTCTGTAAGTCTGAATACGTCATAACTTTCAATATGAGCATGAATCCATCTCTACTTCCATCATGACTTAGATTGTTTCCGATCTACCATCTTCATGGTACCTTGAATGCAGATATATTATTTGCAACTCTTCTGATTTGGCTTCAGAATGTGTAAATCCTTACGATGCTCGTTATATTCCTGAAAGAATTCTACTATATGATTCCCGTCCTGGAGGAACAGGCATTTCAGCACAGGTGAACCTGAATTCCGCATCCTTTCTGTTTCGTCTTTCAAATATATGGTATCAAGTTAAGTTAAAGCGATGCCTGGTGTGGTGGTGTTCCAATGTAAGATATGGATCAGGGCCTCCATAATTTTTGGGGACCAATCATACATGTTCTAGCCTTTGTCCAATTACATGTATTTTAACCTTTAGCTCAATTATATATGTTTTAGCAAATTATAATGTTTTAGACTTTCTTTTTTAGCTGATCTGGCGATTACCAATTCTGGCTTTTGGTAGAATGTTAGAAAATTGATTTTATTTAAGTGAATTTCATATCTTGCATTTTATTACATTTTATTGTTATTTTTATTTTTAAGACTTCTAGTGTAATATATGGTTTGCACTTTTAAATTTTGTTTATTTATTATTCATCAAGTTAATTTATACTTGGTACACGTGTACCATAGCCTCCGAAAAAGGATTAGAACGGCCATGTATCTAGCAATGCTGCTTGTTTGATTTGCAACATGATTCATGGTGTGCGCAACCAATTTGTAGGTTCAACCTATTTTCACGGAGCTTCTAACCGCTGCATTGGAACTGATCACATCTTGCTGCTGCTCTGGCGATGCCGGTTGTCCCAACTGTGTTCAAGTCGGTTTCCACTTACTGATATTTATAACCAAATTTTATGGTCATTTAAACGAGTAACCTCATTGTTTGACATATTTCAGAATCTTTCTTGCAACGAGTACAATGAAGTTTTGCATAAAGAAGCAGCTATGATGATCATTAAGGTACCAAATGTTAAAAAAAAAAGAACGTTTGTTGTATGTGTACTAATTAAGTAGTGATATGTTATTGCAGGGTGTTTTAGAACTGGAGAAATCAAACTTACTTCCATAACTTGTTGAGGTTTGTAACTTCTTTCTTTGTTATATTCTGTAAATTGTAGTCACTTCTTCATCATTCAAATGCTAGTATTAATTAATCTTGGTGGTGGTTATAGCCCATTTTTTTCTTTATAAACCCTCGCTTATTATATCTTTCTCCAGGGAATGAACGATAGAAAGAGTGGATGAAAGTTTTACCTCCATATATATATATATATAATTTGATTGAGGGAAGATCAAACGAGAATGGTAGCTATTTAAGAGAATACAAAATGGTCAAATCATGTGTTGGTGATTTTAGTGTCACCAAGCCATTTAAGTGTAATTGGAAGTAACATTGAGTTCTAAGGGGGTTCTATATTGTGTTCTACAAGTCAGGAGGTGCGGAGTGCACACTTGTTATAAGACGAGTATGACCCTGGAGGGAGTTAAGGGGCTGAGGGGAAAATTGTAGTGGAAAATTGATCATAAGGACTAGAGGCTATCTGAGGGGCTCTGGTCGGCCTTGCCTCTGGTTCTTAAGGACAACCTTGAGTCTGGTTGTTAAGGTCCAGAGGGGTTTTGCTCTGCCTTGTCTCTAGTTGGTAAGACCATAGGCGCTCTGGTTCCTTGCTTATGTTTGCTAAGACTTACCTCTGGTTGGTAATACCAGAGGGGCTCTGGTTCCTTGCTTATGATTGTTAAGACTTACCTCTGGTTGGTAAGACCAGAGGGGTTCTGGTTCTGCTTATGATTGCTTAGACCTGCCTCTGGTTGTTTAAGAGCAGAGGGCCCTCTGGTCCTTAACGACCAGGTCTGGTTCTTAAGGACCAGAGGGGCTCTGGTTGGTCTTGTCTCTGGCTTCATGTCTAGAACGGTTAGAACAATTTTGTAATTGTCCACTACCGTTAATGAGCAGTTTTTGTAACTGTGCATTATTTTTAATATGCAATTTTATAACTGTCCATTACTCCTAAAATTGAACCATGATTATCATTTTGGTTACTTTTATGAGTATAAATATCTTTTATGCTTATGTTTATGGACACGGGTTTTTGAACAATCCGATATATTCTTCAGCTAATTTGCTCTCGTTTTTGTGCCTAAAAACAAAAGTGCTCTCTTGAGTCTTATCCCATATTGAATTTCGTGTAACTCAGGCGTAGGGTCGAAGTATCAATTTGGAGAACAATCTCTTACACGATTCTCAAGTAATCTTGTTCTTGATCGACTAAACCCTTTTTTGGTTCTATACTTCTCTCTAAGATCATGTGCAAAATTACATGTGATTTTACGTCAACGATAAAAAAAAGATGCGTGGGCGACTTTGACCGCATATTCAGGTCGCGGGGCAAAGTCGCATGAATCACATGTGATTTTATATATGATATTGGTGTAAAGTCACATGTGATTAGACTGTTTTCTTATTCTCTTAAACAAGTACCATTCCGTTTGAACCTGATTCTAATTTGATTAGTTTCTTTTTTATTGCTTAATAATTTTATACATTTACATTTATCATAAACTATTATTACGTTCTTGGTTATTAAACTCGAGCTTTATTTGTTTGTTTTAAAAATTAATAACTCATTTCTTTTCTTTTTGTTTTAGTTTTTTTTTTTCTAAGTGGGTACCCAACTAGCTCCTCGTACCTGTCGGGGATTAGGCGAGCGGGCGGGACGGGGTCGGTGATCCATTCCCCACCCATTACTAAGGATGACAATTTTGTATCAAATCAAACCAGCTAACATGTATACCGACCATACCAATTACAATTGGTTGATAGTACCGTATCAAGTGTGCAAACTCGATTGGAATACGGTATTGAAAGTCGTGTATCACTGTAGTACTATGGTACCAACTTACTTAATTATATATTAATTTAATTATAAAAACATATTTCTTATTTTTAAGTTTTGTATTACCGACTTTTCGTTTTAGTATGTGAATGTTTGTACATTTTATTCAATTGAAAACCCTTAAACAAAATATGTGTTACTTGCAAACTTAGAATGTCATTCAAAACTTAAACAAAATGACAAGTTTTTATTTATGTTATTTGAAGTGGTTATAAAACATTTATCGATATATACCAACCTAAAAAAGTTCGTATCAATAAAAGTCGATTGATACACAGTATAATATCTTACATACTAGTTATAATTGATTAGTATCAATGACAGTTGATCGATAAACGATATCACACTTTAGGTACCAATTATAATTAGTTATTACAAGATATAAAAAAAAGTTGCATAAACAACTTATGCTTTTGTACACAAGCGTTTATCAGCTTATTATAAGTTAGAATGGTTTAACTTTATTATGGTTTAGCATTGGTATAAGTTGTTTATCTAAACATTCGAAAATGTTTATTACCGGTGTCACACTAAAATAAGTCAATAAGTTGTTTTTATAAGCAATCCTAAACACTCCTTTAAAAGTTGTGTCTAATCATATTTTATTGTATGTTATATGAATATGACGTATAAATTAAAATATGAAAATTGCCTTCGAAAAAAACAAAATTAAAACATCAAAATAATCATAAGGAATATTTTTTGAAAATAAATTAATTATTTCATGTCACATAAAAATGTCCACTTGTTACGTTTATAAAGAAATGAATTGATTACATATAATATTTAAAGTAAAGTATGTTTTTTTTGTTCTATAGTCTATTAAAAATCATTATTTTCATTTTTATAATTTTGAAATTATGGTTTTTGCATTTGTGATTCGTAGTTCGTTGTTTATTTCGTTTTTCTAACTTCAAGTTAGAGGGTATTTTTATTTGTTTACTTGCAGAAATGTTGGGACTAATTTTTATAGATTTAATCCTACATTCGCGAATCCGGTTCAAAAATTCCTTTTTTATATTTTAATCTTTCCGCAAGTTGAGGAGTTGCTACTTGTGAAGGTAGTGATATTTTTGAAATATTTAAAAAAAATACTAAGAAATGAAGTAAAAGTTTAAAATTAATTAATATTTAAAAAAGAATTAGTTAATTGTCAAATCATCACCATTAAACTTTTTATTGTACATTGATAACATCTTAAATTTTCTTTTCAAGACAATGTTATTTCCAAGTGGAGTTTGATGTTAATGTATTAACAATGTATAGGGGTGCAATTAGTCTGCTATTTTTTAAAATTTATGAGAGATCTACTAAGAACATCTCCAAATTTCTAAAGCCGTATTCGATGAAAGTCGTATGTACGGCTTGGAGAGAGATCTTTCATATCTCTCGGTTCGAGAAAAAAAAAAAGAGGATCAAACCATCTCTTCTGACTCTTTTTCAAATTCGATAAATGTTGATTGATCGTATATTTCATTAGAGTTGTATGATTCAGTACAAAATGAGAGTTCGATATAATATAGAATAAAGATATACAAATAAAAACCAATCCCAACGAAAAAGCAGAATAAATGGGATTGGGAAGTAATACTACTCCCAGACCCCTTAATATAAGACCTGTAATGTTATGTAATGTATTTTATCTGCTGGGTTACGGACGGTCATTTTACTAGAGGTTTATAATCTACCCTTGTGTGCCTTGCCACTTGGCTACGCCCCATTTATATTTTCATTGGACACTAATACTAATTAAGAATAATATTGGTATTAAGTGTTCGTCAATTCCAGTCCAACTATCTATAGAAAATCTTTATTCTTTATAGAATGTATTATAGATTTGTGCTAGGATTTGGACATATGTATATCTGAAAAAGATAGCTCTTTCCGAATGAAATGCAAAAAAAAAAAAAAATCTTCAAAATGGAGAACCTAAAGTCAAAATCTAAAAAAAATTACATTCATTTCCAACATATTCCTATCTTGGAAAAATCCAACATTGATTATAATATTAAAATATTTCATTCATCTATTAAAAATATTATTTCTCTCTCTAAATATTAATTTTCAAAGTTTTCATTGATGATCTCACTTTGTAATCATTTTTGGGGTGTTCTCCATGTTTAGAGAAAATCTCTTCTCTCTCCTACTTCTCCATTTTGTAGATAATTTTGGTGAAGCTATTGTAGCAAAACATTGGCTCAAAATCCACATTTTCTTCATTTTGGAGAAGTTGTTGGAGATGCTCTAAGGTCTTAAGCTTGCCAGTTGTGACGTAAACTGACTTTGAATCACTATTAAGGATCTTATCATTCCGATCTGTTTTGTATCATCATCGAACATTATTGTCGAAAAATTAAGAGGCTATATTAATATATTCAAACTTAAATTTGAGTTTCAGTGGTAAACAATAAAAGAAGACAAAAACTCTAATCATAAATTGAAGCTGATTTTCAACGTTTTATACTTTATCTAGTAACTACATATCAGTCTTTATTTTATTTCTTAATCAAATTCTATTTATTTTTATATTACAATTATTATTTTATGCCATTATTAAGGGGGTGTTTGGGATTGCTTATTTAAAACAACTTATGTTTTGTAAAAGTGCTTATTAACTTATGTGGTATCAAACTGAAGTTTTGTAAAAAGTGTTTGGATTAGCTTACAGCGGTACCAAACTGCAATAAGCTGATAAGTTGTTTTTTTAGTGTTTGGCAAATTTTGCTTATATCTGTAAAATGACCAAAAAGGACAGAGAGAAGATTGATGTTGTTATATCGAGAAGGGAGAAGATTGAGATCGATGTTATCTGGAGGAAAAAAGATAGGTATAAAGGGTAATAGGGTTAAAATAGTAAACTGGTAATAAGCAATTTTTCATAAGTCAGGACGGATTAACTTATTAAAAACTGCTTATTACCGATTTGGCACCGGTATAAGAAATTTTCTTTTTTCTTATCCAAACACTAGGTATTAGCTTATCATCGGTGCCAGACTGAAATAAGTCAATAAGCAGATAAAATAATCAATCCCAAACACCCCCTAAATCATATCATATCTTAATCCATGAGATTATGAGGTTGTTTGGTAGTTGATGAATGATTTAATTCAGAATGATTAAATGGTCAGACTGATTAAGAGGCTCCCAACTGATTAAGAGGCTTCCATGATATAGTGCAAAAAAAAAATTGTTTGGTAATTATTTACAACGAAATTATTGCGTAGAATGGTTAAGGGAGACCCAAGATATAAAATCATTCAGAGAATTTTAGAACCATTA